TTTTTCTCGAAGGATGAATAAATTAAGAAGCTTATAGTGTGTGTGGCTTTTCTTATGGTTCATAATTATCGCTTATTCCTTCGCATACTCGATAATTCTATTATTCCACCTTTTCTTGTTTCTTATGTTAGATTTTCTTTCTAGGTGTTATTAAGAAATAAATTCTAGATTCCGTTTATACGATAAGCGAGCTCTTTCTTTTCTTTCAACGAAAACTGACATTAGTTGAAAGGATTTTATTTTCTACAGTATAATTTCTCACGCGTGTGTGTATATGTTTGTGTATGTTTCAGGAATTTAAAYATCGAATTGAAAGTAAGTTTGTTACAAACAATCTTCAAATATAATTTTTAGATATTAATCGTATCTATCTTTATAGACGGAGTTATTAAAAATAAATGWATGTTATAATATTATACGTGAACATTTTTATTAAAATTAAATTTTTAATAATAGTTTYATCAATAAATACAATGACATTTACAGAAATATAAAAAATTAGATTAAATGTTTTACTTAACTACAGCTCTCAATGTTGTTAAAAATGAAAATGCARAAGACAGGAACTGAAATAATTCAAATAATAAAATAAATTGATGTATTTGAAAAAAAAAAAAACAAATACAGGTGTTATTTTAGAACATACTAATAATTTTTAAAGTAACGAAAATCTTACCGACATGTAATAAGATAAAGATAATATCGGTATAAATCCACTAATTGTAACTATWACKGGTTTTTGGGATCTTTGCATGAGAAAAAGTATGTTTTTYGACATCGTTCGTTGTTTTTCAACCCAATTTAGATTATAAGCTGCCGATCCAATCTCAGAACTCTATTATAACAAATTTYTAATCAAATAATCACCTGTATAGATTATTAATATTTATKATTATTTTTAAAAATGTGAGAAAACTATACCGTTTCAATTAAATTTTCAGCCGGATACGAGTTAAGAAATAATTGAATAATAGCGACAATATTCAAAATGAGGAATTGAAATTTGATCGTCCTTRAATCTGTCTATTATCAAAGCAAATAATTCATCAAAAGTTAAAAGAAAAGATTACAATGTTTATAGTCCAAAAAATTCATTATATAAAAGAGTATGAATTTTTCTACAAATTTTATTACGAATATTTAAAACAGTAATGAAATAATTATAACATAYAAATAAATACGATTTAAGATAACTTATCTTGCAGCTATTAATAATCGAGTTTAATGATTTAAATTGTCAATTATTATAGCATCATAAAATGATACTAACAAAAAGGAATAAAAGTCCACTGGACACTATTAATATGGTTGTAATACATACGGTAGCAAAAATCACAAAACGTACAGTTTTAACCACGTTTTCTGCATAACTAAAAAATTAAAAGAAAAAGAGATAAATGTTTACTTTATCGTAAAAATAAAAATATAATCTATTATTAATTTTATTGATATACGTTACCAGAGAATTTGTCGATGTTTCAAGATACACCATTTGAGATCATACTCGTCCAAAATATTTGCAATATCAATTTGTAACATTTCAAATCTTGCACCAGCGAACCAAAGTAAAACAGCGACTTGACAATCAATCGTAGCACCTGTAGATGCTTGTATACAAGTAACTGCTTGCATAAAATAAACAATTTCATATATTGGATGTGTTTCCACGTTGAACGGATAAACAGCAAAAGATGGTAATGGTTGTGGTAAAAATATTGGTCCCAAAACAATATTTGTAGCAGCTAAATAAAACCCAAAGGTAAGAAATATGTGAAGTTTAGCACATCTTTCAACATATTTCGTAAGTATCATTTTTTCGTAAGGTTTTGCTTGTTTAAAAACATTTTCCATTTCCACGACTATCGACTAAAAAAAATTTAATAGTAAATTGTTCATATTCAAACTAAAATAAATAAATAATTATATATTATTTTATTAAACCTGAAAATTCGAGCGTTGCACTCTACATGCTACCATTTTTACACTCATTTGTATAACAGCGATTATTATACACATTGTTTGTATTATGATCTCTAAATTATTTCGATTAACGTATATACCGTACAACAACATTAATAAAAATGTTTGTGCGAGAAAAAATGAGATAAAAAAATATAAATCGATAAAAAACAATTTTATTTTAGATGCGTTCATTGGCGGTGGCCAAGAAACTAACAAAGCTACGCTTCTTTTTGTAAATTTTACTGCTGCTTCTGGTGTAAGTTTCATGACAATAAAATTACCTTCTATTTAATGCGATTGATATGAACGTTATTGGTAAATTGTTACACGTTGTTTTTATTTAAAGATAGAAACGAAGAAAGAATTTTTTTTCTTCGATTTTGTATCAACAAATAATTCAACGAAATTGTCGTTAATATTTCGTTCGATATTCTTACGTAAATCTTCATTTGAAGTTCTCTCTGTAAAATGTAATTTATACTATCGCCATACGTTGAAGGGAATAAATCAGTCAGAAGTTCTTTACACGCTATGTGTTTCGTTTCTTACACACATCTGTTATTATCTTAAATTATTATGGGGAAAGAAGTTAAGCTGTTTTTTCCGTAGCTTCCTTTGTTGAACTACTTTTACATGAATAAGTAAATAAGGTTGTATCATTCTTCGTAATTATATCGTACATTGTTTCACTTCGATAGTCGATACATTTCTT